GCTGTTAAGAAACATCATTGTGTATGCTTTGTACCGCACGTAGACCAATTTAATAAAATCCGCAATGTTGCGCTCGGATCAAGTGGTCCTCTGAGAATTTGAAGAAAAAACCACAAAAGCCAACTTGGGCCCTGGATTCTGTCTGGTGGGTGGGAAGTGGTAACAGATTACGTGCTGCAAGTGTCGTCTAGGTCTATCAAGCAGAGATTTTCTTGAGTGAACTCCAGCTTTCCGGAATGTTTTGCAGGAAAAAAAAGAAACAAGAACAGTTTTTTTTTTGCTGGAGCCTAGTTTCCACTTTACTTGGTATTTGGTTAGTAGGCTCCTGAAACATCCTCTAGGGATTTTTTTTTTAAACTTTGACTGACTGACTGACTGACAGACTTATTCGCTGACTCGCTTGTGAACCGGGCAGTGCTGTCATATAGGATGACCCCGTAACAGTAATGAATAGCTAAATCTGGCCGGTTGTGTACTGATGCATAAAAAAGCTTCCAGTGAATAGCCATTATTAATATTATGAATCAATATTATTGAATAGAGTTTTATGCACCATGGGCCAGATTTACTAAGCTTTACACTCGTCTTGTTAATTCTATCTCTAGTTAATATGGAGAAATTACTAATGCAAGAAATTCATTATTTCAAACTCCTCCACAAAATTTTCCATAAAAAAAATACCAAGAAAAATATGGTACTAATAGTAATACCAATGAGCGAAGCCAACACGCCATTATGTTTTTAGTCCTCGTTAAAATAAAGATTGGGAGATTTAATACAATTATTTTCTTCCAAAAAAATGCAAATCGGAGAGTGTATTTTGTATGCATTGAAGGGGATAACGTCCGATAATTATATGACTATTGAAAGTACGTTCGGAGCATTGACCTCGCCGTTTATACCAAGAAAAATATGGTAATACATGTAATACCGATGTGCGAAGTCAATACGCCACAATAATGTTTTTAGTCCTCGTTAAAATAAACATTTGGAGATTTAATACAATGTTTTTCTTTTATAAAAATGCAAATACGAAATTGGCATTGTTGTGTGAGGGGGAACGTCCGAAAACTGATACGACTATTGCAGCACGTTCACAGCATAGAGCATTGACCTCACTGTAATTATACAGCGTCCCTTCCAACAGTTTCTTGGAAATTCTTTTCTGGGAAAAAGGCCGAGTGTTGATGTTCAACGGTCGCATTGTGAGCAGCTCATAAACAAGGACCTTCAACTTTATAGCAGAACAAACAAGAGATGCATAATGCTACAAGTTCATTGACTTATCATGTTCATTTTCGCATGAATGGACGTACCACTCCGACGAATTATGCAGCTCTGTTTTTTTCTCTCTGGTGTCAATGCTCCTTATAGTTGTAGATTTTTTTACAGCAACAAATTCTCACCATATGGCGGGGCTGGATGTTATCGATGCTAAAATTTCAGCAACAAAACCTTTGGGTGAAAATTAAAAACGGCAGCTTTTAATATTTCAACGCGGTGTCAAGTTTATCGACACGTTTTTAAGTAATCATAGTTTTTAGGCATTAATGTAGCTGTCGGGGGCTGTTGTTTGTTCTGCTAAAATCGATTGAATTTAATCTAACTGGATTGTCCTGAAATATCTATCACATGCCAGCGGGCGTTGGACCGTTACATTTTGACACAGAATAAAATTTTGAGCGGTTTTGAACATTATCTTTTTCAATTTTTTTTTTTTGGGGGGGACACACATCGGCTCTACCGCAGTGCGCATGAGTGGAAAGTTGCGCCATAATTTGTGATTGGACGAGACGTTTGCCTTATTAACATAAAGTTATTAAAATGGCCGCTTTCCAATTTGACTCTTATTGAATGGAAGTAACAGTAACACAGTCGCATTAGTATCGCCAAATGTGCCAGAATATTGTGAGCTAATGTGTGTTGATTAAAAAAGCAGCACTACATTTTCAGTGTACGATCAATTGAAGTCGGACAATTTATTTTTGCTGTCAATTTTTTATGATCACGCGCGCACCTCGTGTGCTAATTGTCAACAACGGTTGGATGGTGGTCGATGAAAAATGCCTGTCGCTACAAATTTCGGCCGTAAAGAGCTCGGCCTGAAAACATTCCTTTCCGTTAGCGACTCACCGCACGAGAGAAACTGGCACAAAGATAATTACATTACCATGGAAATTGTGAGTGCCCTTAAAAGTTCCAGAAATAAACAAAGATCAATGTTGGCCGTGTAACTAGATCGTTGGCACGAACAAGTGCTGGTATCAAGCCCTACACTGGTCACTTTTTTTAATATCCTTTTTTCACTCCGGACCTAAAACTGTCAGTTATTTCCACTGGGCGACCACGGAAGCATGCCGCATGGTCAGTTGGGAATGGTCAATTTGGGGGATGGTCAGTTTCATTTTGGCCTCGGACCAGGCTTTGTCCATGGGTAAAAAGTGCACACATGCGGGCCTAGGTTTTTTTGAGTGGAAGACATTGTGCAGTGGTGGATGAAATCCAATAATGATTTAGCGTTTCTCGGGAACTACCGTCAATTTTGCTTGAACGATGTCCATTAAATCGAGACACATGGGGCAGAAAATGTAAACAAGATTGAGGTCAGGGCCTAAGGATCGTGCTTGCCAGACATCTCGGGCCATTGTCCGGAGAAATTTGACCACCGACCTGGACTATTATCTCGACTGACTATTGTGCGAACCATGGACTGACCTGCCAGACGGAAGGTTGACAAGATAGTAAATTTAGTGCGAACTGGCCGATGTAATTAGATATGAATGAAGTGTGATTTATTTAAAAAAAACACGCTGCTCCAGTTTTGCTGACTTGAACCATGAACAAAGTAAAGGTCAAAATCTATTGTCAAAACTTTTTGGACTTCGATGAAATTATTTTTTTTCTCACTCTATGTCTTTCCATACACCGAGTGATACATAATTATTTCTCTGTTTGGATGGAAGGACTCTATTGAAATCTTTTAATCTTTTGAAGTTTGAATATTTTCCTTGTTTTCAATTTGAATTTAGGGGAATTGGGGGAGATGTGAAAACTGATTAACAAGAGGACTGACAAAATTCACAATAATACAAAAGTCCTTTTTTTTTTTACACAATTGTCTCTCCAAAATAATTTTTGGAATAGGACATTTTAATTTTTTTTTTTTTTTTTCTTCCCCTTGACTACTTTTTAAAAAGCCGTATTTTTGGTTTAAATTATTTCTTTGTGAGGAGATGGAATTTAATACTTCTATATCTACAAATTACTATATCGACAAATTATGTTAAGTCTGTTAGGCCAAATAAAACAAAACATGTTTAGCGTCCTGCCTTTTTGAAAAAAAAGGAAGGAGGCCCTTTATTTTTGGTTTTTCCCTTCCAAAATGGCTGCCCGACGGGGCTATTTTTCAAGATGGCCGCCATTTTTTTTTTTTTTTAAATGGCTTCCACTTGGACTCGGGAATGATGTACCAGCTTTATATGGGCTAGATGCAACAGACAAAGAGGCCAAAATGATGTCACTGTTTAAATTTTTTTTTTTTTTCGTGTTTAAAAAAAGGAGGCGGCCGCCAAAAAGGAAGCTAAACATTTTTTTTTTTATTTGGCCTTAGAGTACATCACACAAATTTCTGCATGGTGAGCTACTAACGTGCGATACGTGTGTGCGCAGCGTCAGGTGACGACGATTCCTAATCACCTCACAAATCATCTGTATATCCTGCAAGTTGCATCATCTCATCCAACACAACCAAACCAAACCGAATCTCCACGTCAAACCATGAAGCAAGCTGATGCAAGCTTCGGCCAAGCTTGCTCCATAAAAATGAAAAATTACAACACTCCAAACATTAATCATCGCCATAACGTACCATGTACCGTCACTTCTGCACATCTCTAGAGCCTAGACTGGCAACTAGTATACTTCAGGTTGCTAGATAATTATTCCTGATTGAAAAGATCTCTTCAATTTCTGGACCATGGCTTACATTAAATGTTCCATTCGTTTCTGCTCGCTGTGTTGTGTTTTGGGGTGAGTAACACAGAATGAATGGAATAGTCTTAACATACAAAGAGTGTCATGGCCTAGCGGTTAAGAGCACCGGACTCATGCTGTGGTGTTTCAGAGACCTGTAACAGTTGCGTGGGTTCGAGCCCGGGCCCGAACACTTGTGCCCTTAAGCAAGGCACTTAACCATTATTGCTTCGTTCTTCGGATGGGACGTTAAGCCGGAGGTCCCGTGTGTTGTGTAGTGCAATGCGCGTAAAAGAACCCAGTAACACTTATCGCTAAGAGAAGGGGTTTGCCCTGGTGTTCTGGCCTCCTAGTTATACTCCCTTGTGGAAGTCCTATAGTATATAGGAGAAGAACCAACCACCAATACAAAGGCCTTTGTAATTGTATTTTTGGGTTTAGCCGGCCCTTCACTGGTGGAATTACAGAAGTAATGCTCAGTGCTTTTCCGACAACTTTTGAGAAACTTCACAAATTTGCTTAGGATGGATTTGAACCCATGACCTCCTGCTTAGTGCAGACACCTAAACCGCTCAACCACCATGTACAGAGCGGGTGTATACCTATGTTCCCCAATACCGATGTTCCCCGAAATCCTTACCCAAACCCCTAACCCTAACCCTAACCCTAATCCTATGGATTTCAGGGAACATCGGTATTGGGGAACATTGGTATTGGGGAACATCGGGTAGACCCCTACAGAGCTTGCCAGAATTGATCAGCTTTCTTGTTCTGATAACAGTTTTGAAAGTCCTGTGCCATTTTACTTTGCCAATGTGCACAAAGTGTTTAACGTGATTTTGAGCTGCACACCCCTTTAATCTACAAGTCTGTTGTATGATACCACGAATATGTCATCCCAGGCATAGGTTAAACAGTATTAAAGGGACTTGCCCTGTTTCTCTCTTAATAACAGAAGATATATTGTGGCTGGCATGATTTTTAAGAGATTTTCTGTTCTCATTTTCTTATTTTTTGTTTTGTTCTAGTGCCAAATCGTTCAAGGTGGAAGACGAACCCATGATGAACGACGTCATGGCAGCAGCCATGGTGCTGACAAGCCTATCAGGGAGCCCTCTATTGGCAAGAATGGACAGCACCTCAGGTAACGAAAAAAAATAAAATTCATATCAACCCTCATTCCTTTGCCAAATTTCCCCAAATCAGGGGCCAAAAATCTCACCAACCCATAGCTGGATTGAAGCCGAGTTTTCAAAAACACTTCCTATCTGTAGACAATCAGGGGCCCAAATCTCGTGAACCCACACTGGAATTGAACCAAGTTTTCGAAAACATTCAGTATCTGTTCTTTAATATTCCAGTTAGCTTGTGCAATTTCCACCTCCAGAAACATTGGGTGTAAAAATCCTCTTTTACAAATCCCGAGGTCAAATCACCAAGTAAATGGCCCACAGTCTTTGAGCATTGTTTGACATGATAAATGCTTGTGGTAATGTAAATAAGTCAAGGATGAACGTCTTTAACTGCCTCCACAGAAAGACAAACATTAGCAAGTAGTCGGTACTAGCTTTTGCAAACAGATCGCGTCTTCCTGTTTTTGACTTGGTGGTAGACTTGTTCAAGTCCTTCCACGAAACAATCCTGAATCCTTCGACATCTATCAGTGTTGTAGGAAACCAATGGCAAATTCTTCCTGCAGGAACTTCCCAAGAGGCATAGTGTCCTCGGTAATTGACATTGATTAGTCGTCTGTCTTTCCTCAATCCCACAAAATCACACAAATTCCTACAAATAATTGACATTGATTAGTCGTCTGTCTCTCCTCAATTCCACAAAATCACATAACTTCCTACAAATAATTGACATTGATTAGTCGTCTGTCTTTCCTCAATCCCACAAAATCCCACAAATCCCTACAAATCTCAAGGCAGATTTTGAAGCATGCAGGAGTTTTTTTTAGGTTAGCCCCTTTTGTTAAAAATGAACTTCAAGAGGAAATGCGAGAAAACAATTCATGTTTAAAATTGAAACACACACCTGTCTTTCACAATCATCCTCAGATCTTGGCACAGCGCCAAACAACTGTTACAATGTATACATTTCAAGATCAACTGAGGATATAGGCCCTACTAGTGTAACATAAAAAAACACTTCTGTTCAACACATTACTCTAGTTTTTTTTATAAATTCTTCTCAATTTTCTGTTCATTCAACTTTCAAGTTTCAAGGGTATCTATGTTTCCCATCGCTCACAGACTGTGGTCCAGATCAAGTTGCCCATGAAAAAAATTGCCCCTGACACGGTCATTGTTGATGAATTGCTCTGTTCATGAGGGGAAGAAAAATCCTGTCAAATACCAGATGTTTACTTGTCCAGTTTCTGGTTTCAGTTAATAGTTTGGCATCTTGGCAAATTGCCAAAATCATGAAGCATAAAAACATGGGGGCCTGTTTCTGAAGTTCCTTTGGGTATTTGTTGAAACACACAAAACAGTACTTCTATTGTACATTATGCAGTAAGACTTCTAGCTGTAATTGTTTGTGACATTTAAAACCCTGAAAGCACATGTGTAGCAAGGATCTACATGTATAGTGTGTCTGCTTAAATGCACAGGGACAATTTCAAATTGTGCTTAAGTTAAAGCGTGCTTCAGCTGAGAACCAAACCAAAGACATTACATGCATATTTCGGCTGGTAAGCTCTTCGTGCGTCAAAAATAACATCATGCTTTGCAGATTTCTGTGTAGTTCTGTTAAATTATAAAATATTGCTAAGTATACTTTTAGTAAATAAAATTCTCCGTAAAACTAAATTGAGAATCTGCTCACACAAATATGCATTGTTGGTAACATTCACTCAATATCCCGGTGTTCACCTGTGTTTTTTGCTTAGCATATAATGTTTGCTTAAAATGTAGGTTTGTTAAACTGCTTCATGAAATTGGGACCCTGGAACATGTGTACAGTGAAAATACAGTGTTGTACCATGGAGAAATAATTTCTCCATGGTTGTACACAATGTGTAGTAAGGTCATAAAATTGGGGCCCCAGAACATGTACAGGGACAATACAGTGTCAACTGTCATGCACATGTAGTGCTTCATAAAATGGGGGCCCCAGAACATGTATAATACAAGCATGTGAAGTACTACATTTTGTAGTGTACAGAAATGTACATGTATACAATGTATACAATGTATACAATGTATACAATGCACAATTATGCACAAGTTTCATTCATGAATATATGTGAAAACTACTATGTACCCTGCATTATACATGTTAACTATTGGCATATAGGGGAATGGGGGAACACAAACCAGCCGGCCAATTTGCATAGAGATGTCAAGGTCATGATAACACTGTTGACAGAAATCCTATTAAAGGTCAGTAGCACTTGCTACCCCCTCCGGAAAAACAAGAGCAAAAGTGAGCTGTTTGCACTTGACAAACAAATAATTCAATTTATCAAACTACTGTATAAAAGGGAGAAAGATTGCTGGTTGTTTGTGCTGAGAATTGAATGAATCAATTTTTGAAATTGATGAAGTTATCACAGTGCAAAACATTTGTGTTTATTACTTTGGGGAATATCATTACACTTTTAGATATTTTTTTTGAAATAGATGAATTTATCACAGTACAAAATATCTGTGTGTGTTACTTTGGGGAATATCAATAAAATTGTTAATATTTTTTTAAATTCTGCTATTGGAGACAAGGCAGAATAGCTATTTATAAAAAAAAGTGCTCTTTATAAATTGTTTTGACATTTGGAAATGTGTGTGTTTTCCCCCTGTTTATTATATACATCATTACACTTGGCAATCTGGTCACAGTTATTGAAATGTGCCAGTTTAATAGCAGATGCTGCTTAACGTTAAGATCTCGCCCTTTCGCTTCATTTATCTTTTTATCCCGGTTGCCTGTAATTGGAATATGAGAATAAAAATATCTGTGAAAGGGCAAAACATTTGTCATGCTTCGAAAGGTTTGTGTAGAGATCTTTCCACCTCGACTGTTTCCTTCCCCCCCCCAAAAAAAAAATGGGGACCTGTAGCTAGCTACCATTTAAAGCCATTGATTGGGTCACCTCTGCGCGCAACATGATTATTTATTTTTGAATCGCTACCTGGCTTTGTGCATGGACGATGATTGAACACACGATCATAAAAAAAAAAATCACTCTTGTCTTACAACACCTAAAAGTACGCAAAATCTTCAGTGTCACCATGAGGGCAACTTTCAAGCATTTCAACTGCATAGGTTTTAAAAACTGAACAGTAATTTCCCTCTCTTTATTGATATTTGCCAGAGACACTTTCGAATTCAGCAATAATCAAAGCTCATCACCTCGGAAACTGCACATTTGTGGCGCGGCCATTTTGGAATAGGCTGGTTGCGTGCAATCATTACCATTGTGATTTTGATTTCACGATGCGGGATTCAGTAGTATACAAGTCATGCATAAATAATTTGCATACATCAGGAGGAAGTGCTAGCATAGAGAAAGGATGCTAGCTACCTGTCTCCATACTTGAAGTCCGAAGGACATTGGGGACAGGGACCAGACTACTTTCCACCCAGTCTGAAAATGATCTGGAAAGGAGCCAAGAAATGGTTCTAAATAAAATCTAGATAAAAGACCACACAGCCCGGAAATAGACCTGCAGCACAATATGCCATTCTGGCTGAGTGATTTTGCACAATTCCAGTTTAAATCCGCAAACTTTTTCAGAGTAATCCCCCACTGATTCAGCCTGAAAGATGCATGCAACAGCAGGCATTGAATGTTCAGTGGTTTATCATGGATAGTGGTCCTTATTGATCAATTCTTCGGTTCTTCGGAGGTATTGATTAAAGCATTAGGTTTTTTTTCAGAAGGATTTGGGATGCTGTTGCTCAATTCCTTGAAGTGGGCTTCTGTTTGTTTATCACCAGTTGAAGTTAGTTGAGGATTTCAATTCCGGAAAAGTGTTCAGATTTTTTTCTTAAAACAAGCCTAAAATCAAATTTATGATCAGTCCCAATTTTGCGGAAAAAATCGAAATGATCACTTTATCATTTGGTTCTGATTAAATTACTGCATGTTTCTCCTATGAATTTTAAAACTCCTTTTTTTATGTCAAGTACAAGTTTAGAAATTTCTGAGTGCAACAGCTTAATAGAAATTCCAATTTAAAGTACGTGGACTTAAAATTATTTTTCCATCCTCCATGTGGTAAACAGGCAAGCAACTTTTCCTCAGATCTGCTGATTTCTTCGTTTTTTTACTTCTCACGAATGCCATTACAAAATTGAGAAATACTGTACAAAGTCTTGTGTGGTTTGGATTTTCCTTGTTTTTGCTAATTTTGCAGTTGCATGCCTGGGTAAAATCCTTTTCTGGTTATGAACATTTCAAGCATTTTTTTTCAAATGTCTGCACAAACCTTTGAAGTCACAACAATCAAGAGGAAGAGTTTTTAATCCAGAAAAAAATATACTGGAGGGGTTCCAGGAAGGCAGAAAAACAAATTTACATAATCCCAGCTTTGTAAACATTGTCATTCCCCCAAGCTTTCAGAAGCCCTAAAATTCTTATGAATAATTTAATTTGTATTAAAGGACCCACTTCTCCAGAAGTATTTGTTAGAAGAGAATAAGTAATTTCTTAGAACGTGAGAAAAAAGGTTGTTGATCCATGCTTATGAATAATTTAAGAGCAGTACTTCTGAAGCAGAAGGCTGATAACTGGGGCGGTTCAACGAGTGGCCATTGTTTATTAATTCACTGGACACATTTTTATGTGTTCTATATTTAAATATATTTCTATTTATTTATTTATTTTACTTTCCTGTTCTGGATTGAGTAACAGGTGTTTGTTACAGCTCTGGTGCCAAATTTCTCACTTTGTGACTTGGCTAGGGTTCAAGTTAGGCAGAGTGTGGGAGTTTTATTAGTGGTGAATTTTTTTTTTATGTCAGCTTTCAAGAAGCACATACAAGAGATCAGTTATCTTCATCAATTATTTACCTTTTTAAAACAAATATGCGTTCTTCGTTTAACGGTGAGGGTTTGTTTTCAAAAGTTGTTTTAATTTCTGCCGTCTTTTCGTGTTTCTCTGGAATTGAATTTAATCCAAAACTTGTTTTCTTTCTATTATTATCTTCATCAATTATTTACCTTTTTAAAACAAATATGCATTCTTCATTTAACGATGAGGGTTTATTTTCAAAAGTTGTTTTTTATTTCTGTCGTATTTTTCGTGTTTCTCTGGAATTGAATTTAATCCAAAACTTGTTTTCTTTCTATTTCCAAAATGAAATATCAGTTGTGCCAAGCTCTTGAAACCAAATCTTGTTGGAGATAACTATGGTCACGTACCACCGCGGACCCAAACCTTACACTACTACCAGACTTTAAACAATGGTCTAAAAATAAAGCTCTGTTTTGGCGATACATCACATATTTTGTTACGCTTTAATCAGATGGGCCACCAATCATTGTCTGCAACCCAGTCGTTGGGCGGGGTCAGGGATCAAAGGGGGTGTACGTGCGGTGTCAAAAGGGTGGCTACCGGAGCACGTCACTGTCTGCGAGAACCGAAAGTTTAGGATAAATTTAGCAAAGGTCTAGGCCTCGCCGGTTATTGAATTTTGGCAGACTTTGCCAAGTTATAACTCATTGGCCCTCATGACCAAATTGAAAAAGAAAGGAAAAATTGATGTTGGGACATTGCCAAAAACGTAAATTACGAATTTTATCAATGTTATTTAAATACCATTTGTATGTTATGTTGTTTTTTTTTGGCAAAGGTGGACACAGACTGATGGTGCCCTACTGGTGTCACTTTAAAATATCCGATTTGGATAAATTCTGAACGTCAGAGGCCTAAGGGAGTAAATAAAACTCATTTCCTTTCTCAATTCAACAAAAATGCTCTTAAACCTCTTGGTAGACTGTGTTAGATCTAAGAAGTTTGAAGGGTTAAACTTGGATTGAAAATCATTGAAATCATGTGATACGTGGACAGAACCTTAAAACGGTGGTTGTGTTTAAAACTCCGTAACTTAAAAAGTGCATGAGTGATTTGATTGATTCTTGTACTAAAAGAAAGCTCATGAATTGGGCTTTCATATACTAGATTTTGAAAGTGCCACTGATACATGCAGAACTTCACTAAAACAATAGTCCCAACATTTGGGTTTCTTTTTTTTTTACTCACCCTGTATAGCTCATTGAAATACAATGATAGCCTCAACTGTACCAAAATGATCAACATTGGAGAACACAATCTGAGTAGCACCTTTATAAATTCTTCCTTTTTTTCCTTTCTTCGCATTGGCAGTACCATACAGCCCTACCAGTCCAACCGGGGGTGCCACGTCCGATTTATCCATGGGCACAGCGTCTTCATACAGCCCCTCCAGCAGCGGCCACTTCAGCTGGGACTTTCATTCCAGGGGGACGCCCTCCCCAACTTCTTCGACGAGTAAGTACAAATCCAAAGTTTTGATGAGGGTGATTGAAGGACAATAGAACGAGGATCAAAAAGTCATTCATATGGGAGCATCATATTTAAAGGGGTATCTAAATTTGAAGTTTTTGTTGATTCCCTTTCAACGAAAAACCCCTCCAAACCTTGCTTTTTTCAAATATTGTCCCCAATTTACCATATTTAGCTAGTCTGAATTTTGTTTACATGTTGTTTACGGGTACGAGCCTTCTAGACTGGTTCCCTGACCTTACAATTCCCTGACGTCTATAAATTGCACTGTTTCATCTTAAGTGGGGTAAAGAAACCAGACTACACGAATTTTTCTTGGGTTTTCCAGCATCTACGAACACAAACTTCAAACAAGTCAGTGTAACAATATTTGCTATAAAATACGAACCCCCGAATCCATCCATTTCTGAAAATTACAGCAAAAGCAAATGATGTATTCCCTTTAATCTTCAAAGATTGTTTTTTGTTGATAAACCTAAACAAATTGTGCCGGAATTCTTTTTCACTAAAAGTCAGTGTCGCTTAAAGCTGTAATGGTCATCATTTTAGGTAGACCCTTGACTTTCTCTAAATAGGAAATAAGTCAGTGTCGTTTTTGTGGATCAAGGACGCATGCTCCTTTAAAGTTAAGTCACGGTATTTAATCCACCTTCGCTCCCTCAAAAGTTGGAACTTTGTTTACATCGAGAGGAAGCTCTGAAAAATCCTCTGTTCCGGTCAGCAGCTAGAAATGGCTTTTTGCGCGCAAACTTAATTACGATTCAGGAAATAAGTCACTGTAATTCAGGGGTTTGGGAGATGAGAGATCGAGAGTTGCGTCGAACGAGAAGGGCAAGGGGAACAGTTTCCTCTTAAGATCTTTTGGAACACTTCCAGAAGGGGGCTGGATAACAACGTCAAGTTAGCCAAAACAAAAATCCTGAGTTTTTATCAGATCGATGATGTCACGTTTGCCAGGGCAACAGGCTCTCCAAAACATGTACAGCTGTTTTTTTTTCGGAGGAAACGGCCCCCGTTAATGGAGTTCTGTGTTTTTCCAGGGAAGAGAGTTTGTTGCCATCTGTGGGCGTGAGTCATTAAGGATCGTGACGCAGGTCCGAAAAAGAAATTGCGTCCGAATTTTTGAGAAGAAAATACTCAGTTACACAACTTTAATGAAGTCGGCTCTTCTGGAGGGTTTCGAGGCTTAAGATGATCAGATCTTAATCATTTGAAAATATGGAACTACTTAAGATAGGAGTCAAATCTCAGAGTGTAATTTGCATCGATATTTGAAGAGTGGGCTTTTGTATGGAAGTGCGGATGTTCAGGGAAAAAAATTAGGACAGGGTCTCTGATCTAGTTTTGCAAAAGTTTTTTTTTTTCGGGGGGTTGGGACTGATAAGGATTCATTGTTATATTCATAATAAAAGATGTATAACAATATTACATTCAAATAGCCAACTTGTTGAAGCTTGAAGTTAATATTGGGAACAGGCATTCAAAATGTTTTGTAAATATCAGATTACTTTACACTTCAGGAACAAACCCGAAAGTAACTTAACTTTGGACAATTTGGCAAAACAACTTTATGAGAATAAACCTGGGGGATTGGTAGTGGAGCTAAACTTGAGCTGAGCGCTGTACACTGCAGGGTCAGAGGTTACATTGCTTCAAGGGTACTGACTCTGTTGTGAATGGATCTGGTGGCTCGATGGTATACAAATTACGTTATTGGGTCTCAAATGTAGGAAAAACTGACAAGACTTGGCTTGTTATTTTGGAACATTTTAGTTCAATATTTATACACTGGATCAGTCAGTCAATCGGTCAAACAGTCAGTGACTCAGTCGGGGAGTCAGTCAGGCTGACCCTTCAGATTCAGCGATAACGCCTCTATCAATTTTTATTCACTCCATCTAAATGAATTGGAAACGTGTGCTCGATGTTTTATGTAAAACTTGAGAGCGTAAATTTAAAACATCTCTGCTTTTTCGTTCACGTTGTGCACATGTATACAATAGCCAATTTTTAATGTACACCTTGTTTAATCTTTTCATTTGTCAACGTAATGAGTTGAACCATAGAGCAAGGCCAAGATCTAGCCCATACCTTGTATAAACCATAAACAACTTGAAACCACAGATGGCAAAACAACATCAACATGTAATGGCTGGCCTCTGCTATAATCATGAAAAAATAATCATCTACAGTAATGTATGTACATACATTGTATAGTATGCAGTTTGCCTGCAGTAAACTTGGGAACACTCAATAATTTACGACATGTTCAGGGCAGGCAACTTTTTTTTCAAGAGAAAAATAGTTGTATTGCCAGTGGGACAAACAGATTTACTTTCACTAGGGTGAGGGGTCAAAGTAAGCATTTTTTTCTTCTTCTCTTTTTCGGTTTGTTTCTTTTCAATTTTTTTTCTCCTTCCTGGTATTGAGTGTATTCAATAACAGGTCCCCGGGCTGCCCAGATAAAAACAGATTTAGAGCAAGCGAAGAGGCCAGTGTAGGGGTTGAAATGTATGGTGGGGAAATCGAAGTGGCCTTGAATTTAAATCTGAATGGTGCTCCACTGTACTCCTTTTATGAGGGTGGGTGGGTGTCACTTTTGTTTGACGGTTTTGTTGAACAAGTTGGAGTGATTTGAAATGTCTTCATAAAAACTGTCAAAGGATGAAAACAAGGGGGGTATCATATAAACATTGTGAGAATAAGTAAGATTGAGACTGATTATTTTAAAAATTGTTACAATATTATGGAAACTCTACAGAGAGTAAAACTAAAAACTTTGGGAACATCAGTTTCTGCTTGTCTGCTCTTAAAATTAAAGGGAGTATACAACATTTGCTTTTGCTGTAGTTTTCAGAAATGGATGGATTGGGGAGGGGGGGGGGTTAGTATTTTATAGCAAATGTTGTTACACAAGACTTCTTTGAAGTTTTGTGTTCGTAGATAATGGAGAAACCAAGGCAAACAATCACGTTCTTGTACTAGTATGGTTCCCTGACTCCACTTAAGATGAAACAATTTATGCCGAGCAATTTATAGACGTCGGAGAATTGTAAGGTCAGGGAACCAGTCTAGCTGGCTTGTACCCGTTCATAGGAGTGTAATCGATTGTAAACAAAATGCAGACTAACCACCGTAAATAAGCCAGATTTTTCCAACACTGGTCTGCTGACCAGCGTTGGAAATACAAAAATACAACTTTTCTTGAAAATGTCAGCACACCAGGTGCCATTATTCACTAACAGTCCAGTAAGGTCTTTCATAATAATTTGGTAGTTTTGTTTTTTGATGTTTGCAACTGTTGTATACATGTATTCCCTTTGAAGTGGTTTTTCCTAAATGTCAAATTTTTAGTATGATTGAACACACTTTTGCTCAGTGTTTAAAAGGTTTTTTTTTTCATTTTGAAAACCAATCTATACCGGTACATGTACATGTACATGTACTTACGTACATGTACATGTACTTGCAATATCATTTCAAACAAGCCCCAACAAGTCAGAACTTGTTTTCTGGTTTAGTCTGTTAAACTGGAAAGACGTTTGGCAACAACGAAAAAAAATATGTTTGTTTATAAATAACAATCCAGGCAAGTTCCTGCAAGTGTTTATGATTGTAATATCTTCTCTCGTCGCAGGTGACGTGGAGTGCAATGCGCCGGGGTTCTCGTTTCCCGAGATCGGTTCCACCAACGGCGTCGTTTTTGATCAGCTCTCCGTGGACGAGGGAATCGACATGAGCGAAGTGGGGGCGCTGTGCACAGTCGACGACATCCCTGCAAAGAAGTTAAAGGTAATAACAGACATAATTTTTTCATATACATTGACAAAATGGGGGTACCGCCAAAATAGGGCTGGATAGCTCAGTTGGTAGAGCACCGGAACGGCAATCCGGATGTCACCAGTTCAAACCCCGCTCCAGTCAATTTCTTATGTTCAACTTTAAAAATTAAAACGGAAACTTTTTGATCGTATCCAACCTTGCATTAATCTTCGCCAGGCTCTAATGGACCTTTCCTATCAGTCTATCAAACGGTGTCCATTGGTCACGACTTTTGGTCAGGTGACCATGGTATAGCCCGTGCAAATTGTGTCCATTGGCCAATCAGATCACGGCTTTTGGTCAAGTGACCATGGTAGTCCAATCAAACTGTGTCCATTGGCCAATCAGATCACGACTTTTGGTCAGGTGACCATGGTAGCCCAATCAAACTGTGTCCATTGGCCAATCAGATCACGACTTTTGGTCAGGTGACCAAGGTAGCCCAATCAAACTGTGTCCATTGGCCAATCAAATCACAACTTTGGTCAGGTGACCATGGTAGCCCAATCAAACTTGATCACAATCACTTGTGAGAAATGTACACAAACTACAGGTAGGTGGGGCTTATTGCCAAATCTGGGCTTACAATCGCATCTTTTTATAGACAGAAATTTGAAATTAATTTTGTATTTCAAAAGTCCGTAGTTACAGAATACTAACCGAATTCCTTGCTAACTTATGGAATACGTATTAAAGACAGATTTTTCTATTGATAAAAAGACCACAACTAACAACAAGCAGAACATTGCAGAACATTGGAATTTGTCCAGTTTTTCAGTAATGGACATATTTTGTAGACTATAGTTCATTGTGGTTAAAGGGCCCTATCACAGCCCCATGACACTGTCAAGATTGCCACTTCGTCGCCCTAAAGTTGCGAAGTTATCAAAAGGTTCAACATTGACCTTGAAACTAGCGACAGCTGTAGTAGATGCTGTGACAGTTATGATTCTGTTTTCCAATCATAATTTAACAAAGCCAAACTAAAACTTATACTACACACTTGTATACAAAAAAAATGGGAAATTCACAACATGACACAACTAGTCTATGTATCTGTGGTACTAGAGGAAACAAAAATCAGGATGATAATAATCTCGCTTCTTAAAGGAACTGAGAGATCTAGATTTTTTGTGAAGTGGGTCATTATATTCCCCTTGAGCATTGCAGCAGGAAAGTGGTTAGTTCTTCAAGTTTGTGGTTACAGAACGAGTATCAAATGCTGTAATTTCCTGCAATCTACTTGTGCAGTTATTTAAAAGGGGGGGGGGGCGATTAGAACCCACCTCCCACGCTTTTGTAAAAAAAAAAAAATTCTTTACAAAATTTCCACTTTCACTTTGGAAATGTCAAATTGTGACCTAGCTTTGTATGCTATGAACATATTTATTCAAACCTTACATGATCATACAATGCACTGCACAAACATCTTTTTATGATAAACGACCGTCGTGCGACTTTTCCTTGGATCAGCTGATTTCCTCTTTTTATTTTCACTTCTCTTGTGTGTCATTAAAATTGAACCCAGAAAAAAACTCTAGAGAGTATTGTAAAGCTTGGAAGTTACTATTCTGTTGTGAGTTCTCAGTTGCATGCCTGGATAAAACTGAATGATAAATTCGGTGATGGGTAAAACCTAACATGGAGCAGGACAATTTGTGACCCACATAAATGCAATATGCTGTACTTTTGCCAACTTTTTGTGTGTGTGGTGCTCTGAATGTAGAATGCTTATTGGTAATGACAATGAACTACATGTACGTGCAGTTGGCAGGGGTGCAGATTGTAAAAGGGCCCAGGTTTGCCTACACGGGCCAAATCACAATTTGTGCACCCTCAAATTCTTTGCTATTACAGCATTTTGTGGGCCATGAACTTGAAGGTTTGTAAATAAAGAAGGGTGGAAGCCTTGCACCAGGAGTGTGAGCTCGTATAATTTCTGTAAAATTCTCAGGAAATTTCATCCTAAAATTTTTTATTTTGCAATGGAGCGCAAGCATCTTTTTTTCAAAATGGCGATGAGCGACTACTTTTCGGGGTGATCATCTTTGGATGGAATTTTCTCTTTTAGTGGAAGTACAGTTTCCTAGAGGTGACAGGTTCAATTCCCACTCCAATCAGTTTCTAATATCCAACCTTATTTTCCAATCAGTTTCTAATATCCAACCTTGTTTTGATCTAAAAAACAAAGTTAATCAGATCAGTTTCCCCAGTGCGGTTTAAATTTCCTTCACAATTCAGACTCAATAAGAACCGGTTGTTGTGATAAACATCAGTTGGCCACACAATTGCGGTTTTCATTATCTCCATTGCAAAACCATACAAAACTTCCCACACACCACTTCACATTGTTAATTTACAGTATTTGCTCAGGTCGTTCAACTCATAACGCTTCGCCCTCTGATAATGCTGATCCTAATTGATGACCTCATGTATACAGCCAAACGCCTCCACTTTTTTTTGGGGGGGGGGGGGGCTAAGTTTTTAAGTTTTTTTTCCACTGCCTGGATATAAAGAAGTTAGAGCCCCCTTAACCCAGGTCAAACCCGCCCAGTTGTCTCCGGTCGAGGGTACCTCGATATCTAGGACCTCCTAGCCCCATCCATTGGCCGGGAGCCAGTTTACGAGACCTTTTTCGCTCCCCGAATCAAGACCTCACTGTGTCAAGAAGCAACAGGCGTTCTAACAGTTGTTGTGATTCCTGCCCACCTCGGATTAGAGCTTTCAGGGAGTTTTTTTTTATCGAGAGCGTGGGTTGAAAAGTGTGTTTTTGTAAAAAAATTACTGTCAAAACAGGAGTTCTTAAAGAGAAGTTCTCCGGGAATCTGCACTTTGGTGCAAGTAGGTGGTCACACCATACTGAGACTATTAAGAGTACAAAACAAGAAGGAGTTATAGATTAGAAAAGTAGTTTACTTCTGTTTTTTTTTTATTGACCGGGTGCAACAGGTTTTACTACATTACCAAATTTGTGAGACGTTTTACCCTTGTAATAGGTATCTCTTGTTCATCTCACTTGATGGGCAGGAATTCACAGTGAAAACCACAGTATTTATAGACCACTGAATCATGTGATTTTTTTACTCGTCCTTGAGGCAGGTCCCCTGATATTTTAAACTCGGTGGAAAGTGGAGCAAAGTGAAATGTGGGCGAGTTTGGAAGTCATGTGATGTGTCATGAGCTGGCACATGGTGCGAAGTATCACGTGTCGTGCGCAGAATTCGCCAAAGCCCTGCTAGGGAAATGACTGGCCTTAAAGTTAAGGGTAGGGTAGTCGGGCAGTTAGGCCAAAAAAAATAATAGTTCTGCTTCCGTTTTCCCTACCTACCCTATTCTGACAGCCCCTACCCTAATTTTTTTATGGTAAAAATGAGGAAAAAACACCAAAACCCATCAATTTCTACCTTTTATACCCTTGACTACACGCAGACGCCTCCATATGATCGTACACAAAAAAAATTGGCCAAAAACAAATTCCCTACCTACCTACGCTATTTTCGAATGCCATGTAAATCGAAAGCAGAACTATTTTTTTTTGGCCTTAGATGATGTTAAGAAAGACAAGTTTTGTGGACCAAGTATGATCTTAAGTAACTTCAGTAGGATAGTCAGATAACATCCCTTAAAAGCCCCTCCCCGAATTTGAATTGTATTCAGTCATTCTTGAATGGTAATGCTATCTTTTCTGAAGGGAGTTAGATGTCTGTGATTGTTAGTTTTATTCGGCAAGTGGCCAGGACAGCCCACAAAAGTAACTTATTTCCAGTGGGATCCCCTAGCAGAAGATGTGGAAGGAAATTACAGTTTTAGAGGTGGTAGGAAAACTCCAGAATGATATTCTAGGGGGAAACCTGTGGAATCAGGCAGGGACTGAAAACCCCAGCCACATATTGGCCCAGGCAGGATTCGAACCCGGGTCACAGCGGTGGAAGGCGAGGAAAGTACCCATAATACGCCAACCTGATCCCCATTTGAGGATGAGGATTTAGCAACAGGTATCTGAAGTTCAAGTCACATTTTTTTCCTGCTAAACCAAAAAATTGAACGTGATAAAACACCAAGTGTCTTAAGAGGACAAAATGTGTTGACCTTGATAAGAGGACATAATGGTGATCTTTAGCCCCCTCTTGTCATCAAGATAAAATGTACATTAGGATATGTTTTTGCTGAAAGATGATTATTTGTTAAGGGGGAGGGGTAGGGGACACTAGTATTATATCCTCTGATCCAATTGAGTCAATTCAATTGGCCTACTTGTTTAAGGTCAGTCAGCTAAAAATATACACAAACAGAGGATGTTGTGCCACAAAGCCTTCCTTACACCAGCACAATTTTTTCTTATTTTCAAAACTTCCTTTGGAATGTTATCAAAACACCGGATGTATGAAGCCATAACGCTTTATTTGCACAGCCGTCCCTGGTATGGTAATGGCAGTGATAAAAAATACCCGTACTTGAAATGGTGCGGTCCATGTTCCAGTTGTTTGTTGTGTCATGTGATACCGAATTGGCCAGTTCCATTACTGGAAGGGGTGATTTTGAGGTATATGATTTGAGGGACCGAATATGAGGATTTTTCATAGCTTCATAGGAAAGGAAAAATGATACGTGCCATATCTTATTATTTTATTGCCTTAATAGCTTATCAAAGTCAATGGTGGGTTGTCTTCAGTGTCTGTCAACATTTGAGAATTGTTTTCCCCGTTAAAAAACCCAACATTCTCCTCCATCAAATGATTGTGTGGCCTACTTTGTACAACAAACCCTATTCTGCCACATAACCAATTAAGTAAACACAATGTGTCAATGTTGTATAGTGGCTTGTGTTGTTGATACATATGGTTCTGCTCTAATTGCCCTCCTATTCAGTGAGAATTGAACAACCCCCATTTTCAAATGGTACAGACCCCCATCAATCATAATGTCAATAGTAAATCATATTCCATAGATAAGGGAGGGGTGGCACTCAG